TCCTAAATTTAGCCTAATACTCGACCATCATATCTAAATTTGGCAGTAAGGAAAATAGTTTTTTAACCAAAATCACGCGTAACCCTTTTTTTAAAAAATTTTATTGCATTTTTGAACGAATCACAAAATCACAATTTTTGAAATTTGAGCGCGTGGCGCAGCAATAGGAGTCTTTAGACCGAGCCAGCCATATTAATATAGGCATGGTAACATAAAAATACAAGTTATTATTATTAAAATCTTTGTTACACGAAATTGATGTTTTTTTTGATAAAGATCAAATGTCAAAAAGAATCTGGGAACATGATCATGGTAATATTGTTTGAAATCTTTATTAATTGGTTTCAAATATTAAGTATCTGAACCTTAATTCTGTTTAAATTTAGCTCTGTTATCAACAACACTTGTACCGAGTGAATCTGATAGGTGGAAAAGAATTCGTTATAACTTTGAAGATGTTAATGGTAATAATAAAACTAATAAAATTTTCTTTAAGTGTAAGAATATATACAAACTCACAATGGTTTTTTTAGACATAAAAGCTCTTTATCATCAAATAATCCAACAAGTACAACATAACATTGTAACAAAAACGATAATTGAAATTTTATTAAATTTAAAGTGTTGTGCTCGTTGCATCTTGAGATTTTTGAATGTTAAAGATTATAAGACTTATTGTGCTTCCGAGAAGGTAAATGTTGACTCTAAAGTCTTCTCGCTTTGTGAATGAACAGATTATTGAATAAAGCATTATTATATATATTTTTTAGGTTTTGTTAAAAATTATTAATTGTATACGTGATGATGTTGAGATAGAATTTTGTGATGATGATGACGATGCTGATTTTGAAAAAACCATCTGTGTTAGCTGTTTTGACATTTTATATAACTCTGACACTCTTGAGTGTTTTCTGCCTATTTGTGAAAAGATTCGAGCACATAATTATATAATTAAAGACTTTAATTTGGCAATTACATTGCCATCAGGTCTTTTAGTAAAAGAACACTCTGTTGAAGTTTTTATCAAGGAAAAACTCAGGTATAGTTATTTATATTAATGTTCATTTATATATTCGACGTTCAAATTATAATTATAACTTTATATTTAGAGAAAAAAATATCGACGTTGCATTTAGTTTAGTTACAAATTTAAAAGATGCTTTTAAATGTTTGTTAGGATGGTCAATTGAAAAACAATTAGAATTAGAATATAGTACCGAAAGCCCATTTAAAATAACGGTTGAATATTTTCACGAAGAATCACAAAAAAATCATACATTTCTAACAAAAATACCTTCAGCAGAATTTAATATAAAGAAGAAAAGAGTAAAGGTATAAATAATATGATATGAATGTATGTATGCCTCTTGTTATTAACTAAACTGCTTGATTTAATTAATTAATTAAATTTCTTTTTTGGTTTAAACTGCAGGGAAAATTTTTTACATCAGGTGATTCACGTCAGAATATTTATAACTCCTTGAAAAAAATTTCTAATGATGAATTCATAAAGTATTGTTAATTCTTACTGTGACTACTACTACTACTACTACTACCATCACCGCCGTTACTATTGTTTATTAGTACATTTATTAACTATATATTATTTAAAACTTTTGAAAATTTACAGATATTGTGATGAACACCCGCCAAAAACAATCCAGCATAAATGGCAAATAAAATCAATTATATTGGAACATAATCCCGTTTATGTTGGAGGTGATTTATTTCATAAATTATTCTAATCATTTGTTCTAATTATTACTATACGTTTATTTATTTATTTATATTGATGAAATATTAGGTCGATATTTAAAGCTTTCCAGAGAAATGAGCCAAACTCCGTGGATTATTAATGATGTTAGACTAGCTGAAACTTCTGTTTCAGAATGTATCGGGGAGCTTTTACGAGAAAAGTTTATGTGTGACAGTAAATAGAGAATTTAATTTGTTGCTTTGTTTATTCGCTGTTTAATTTATTTAATTCATGTAACTACTTTTTTTTTCCCTCCTAAAAACCCTTCAGGTTACATATTTGTTGCATCAGGTCGTGAAGATGCTGATGTGCGAATGTTGGGAACTGGTCGACCTTTCTACCTTGAAATCATTAACCCGAGAAAGTCTTTACTTTCACCTGAAGAATTGTTAAGTTCACAAAGTGAAATTAATGAAATGAAAAAGGATTTAATACAAGTTGATAAATTATCTATGATTAACAAGTTTGTTATATTTATATATTTATGTGCATTAGTATTTATATATTGATAACTATAAACTCATATATATATATATATATATATATTTAAGGCAAGATATTAACATAATTAAACAAGGTGAAGAATCAAAAACAAAAACATACAGGTTTTTATAATATGTTGTTATTGATTTGTTGTGATTTAATAATAAAGAATATTTTTTAATTATTTTTTTTGGGGGAGAAAAGTTCACTTATCTGGGTTTCTAAACAAATTACTCCAGAGTTAATTTCTCAACTCAATCATTACAATGACACTAGTTTCACAATTGAACAACAAACACCAATTAGAGTTTTACAGAGGTTTTACAAATTTTTTATTTTTTATTTATTTCTTTCGCTTAATTCAAAAATTAAACTAATATATATATATATATATATATATATATCTAATAGACGCGCACAATTAATTCGTACCAAAACCATTTACTCGCTTGCGGCAAAACAATTGAATGATCATTTTTTAGTATTAAATCTAAAAACAGAAGCTGGAACGTATCCTGTATAAATATAAATCTGCCTTTTAACAATTTTCTAAATGTTTATTCCTAATATCACTTATTCCTTAATTTGCATCACCACAATATATACTTGTATTAATATTTAAATAGCTACATCAAAGAATTCATTCATGGTGATTTAGGTAGAACTAAACCAAGCTTAGGAGATATACTTGATTGTACTGTTGATATTTTTGAATTAGACGTGTTGGAAGTAGACTTACAATGGCCATCTAATAGTTAATCTAAAATATTTTTCATCTAATAAAATTCATCGTCATCAAAAAATTTTTTTTTTAAAAAAGAATAATCCAACAAAAACAATTACTAGTGTTAAGCGTTCTATTGATTGAAAATATTTTCAAATTTTAAATATTTATTGATAAATTAATAAATTGATCCTATGTTAGTTACATTCTTTCCAAAGGTTTCAAACCAAGTAATTTAAGTGCATTTCCAAGCGTTATTCTAGTTGCCCAATACATTAATAATCTAGCTTCTGCTAATTCATGTTCTTTTCCAACAACCCATAAGCTTTCTAAAGCCATTGATACCGTGTGACTTAACTTCATAGCATATGTCACAACTGTGCAAGGTTCTAATGTATGTAAAGCACTCTTAACTACATCGGGATATTGTGCAACCATTTCCATAAGAACTGACGCTATTTCTTCTGATAAAAGATCAATGTTGGCTGAAGGATTTACTGTTAGGCCGCAATTTCGTTCAATTGAACAAAGTCGAGCGTGAGCATATTGAAGATAAGGTCCAGTATCACCTGTATATTTGAAAAAAAAAATTTTTTTTTTAAATAAATATAGATCAGTTAAATTATAACACTAGATATATACATGTATGTAAACGTTGATTTTATATTTGCTTATATACCTTCAAATGAAAACATACGACTCCAATCAAACGAGTAATTACGAATTCTAAATGATATAAATTAAACCAAATAATAAACATAACAATAATAATAATAATAAGCAATCCCATTAATATTTTAATGCTATGATTATTACCTTTTAGCTGACATATCTTGTATCATTACAGCAGAGATACCAATTACATCAGCTACTTTATCAGGTTCATCAATTTGTGAATATTTATTCTCATTTTGTTTCATCACCTCATGCATGCTTTCCTTAGTTTGATTTAGTATTTCATCCAAAAATACAGCAGTGCCTTTACGAGTACTCATTCCATTAATTATACCAAAATTTATATGCCTACACTTATTAGCCCATTCAACTCCTATCAATTCCAATAGTTTGAAAAGTTGTTTAAAATGTAAATCTTGTTGAGATGCTACAACATAATACATTACATCAAATTTGTATTTTTCATAACGTTCAATTGCAGCACCAATATCCCTGGTAATATACAGAGTAGTACCATCATTCTTCTGTATCAATGCAATATCTGACTTGTATTTTTTTAGATCAGCAATAAGTGCTCCATCTGATTCTTCAAGAATATTTTTTTCCTTCATGGCAGATAATGCTTGTGTTATGCTCTCATTTTTCACTTGAGATTCACCAGAGTAAACATCGAAATCTATATTCAAACGTGCATAGGTCTGTTTGTATTTTTCAATACTAAGATTTCTAAATTTTTTCCATAAAGCAAGTGCAAGTTCATCACCTATATATTATAATAATAATAACAATGACAATAATAATAAATAAAATATTTATAAATTTATTAAACATGCACACACACACACACACACCATCTTCCATTTTCTTAAAATATGAGCGAGCTTGATCATCTACACTTGGATCTTCTTTAATATCAGCCTACAAGTTTATAATAAAGTCTTTAACATGAAAGAAACAGATAGGTAGGTGGTGGTAAAAAATGAATATTATAGATGGTTGTTAATATACCTACATTAATTTTAACATATACATCATATAAATGTTTGATTGGATTATCAATTAATTTCTGTTCAGACCCATATTTCTCAAATCCGACAGCCAAAAGTCCTATTTTAAGATTATTAATTACATTTTTATCAAAGGAATCAAACAGAAATAATCAAATAAATTTGTATATAGAAATATATATATATAGAAAATAAGCAAACTCACCATATTGTTTACCCCAATCACCAAGATAATTAATACCAATTGTTTTCCATCCATGAGCATTATGTACATTTTTAATAAAATTACCAATAATTGTGCTTCTCAAATGGCCAGCATGAAATGGTTTTGCTATATTTGGACTACTATAATCTAACACTGCAGTTTTACCCACACCAGATTTGTTGGTACCATATTTTTCTTTCTTTTTATATACATCCTCAAGGATAATTTTAGTAAGAAGAGGTTTTGAAATCTTGAAATTTAAATAATGACTAATGGGAAATACTCCAACTATAAATTTATTTGGAATAAACTTTATATATAAGCCATTTAAAAATCCATTAGTAAAATAAATGCTAGTTTGAGATGTTGAAAAAAAGGGAGAGCACCTTTTCAGCCCATTCTTTAGCAATTAGTGTAGGATTTCCTTTAATACGCAGTTTTGGAATTGCAATTGCAATGTCACCATGTTCAGAACTTTTAGGTGCCTCCAATAAACTTAAAATATCATTAGCTGATTTCCCAGAAAATTCCGCAATGATTGAAGCTGCAAAGCTACGAAATATATCTAATTTATTGTCATCTAAATCAGCACCTTGAACCTTTGGAATATCAGTATAATCGTCTTCCATTTTATCATTCAAAGTTTTTAACGAAAAAAATTTGATACAAAACTTTATATTTTCAAGTTTTTTTTGTTTGTAAAAATTTTTTAAGATAGTACTAGTTAAAATCATCAAAATTTGAGAATTTGGAATTGCGCCAAATGAAAAATATGTTGTGAATCCACGATTTTTTTTTTGGAATAGAATTTTAGATTAGCAATTCCAAAAAAAAAAAAACGAAGTGGGAAGGATTCAGGAGAAAATGTGTTTAATATATATATATATAGTTATTTTATAAATAACAATAATAAATATAAATATAAATATATAATATATAAATATAACTATTTTTTTTTTTTTCATTTTCAAATGAATGTATTTTCATTTTTTTATGAAAATTTTTTCTTTAACGACAATAAATCTTGTCTTTTATGAAAAATTTATGAATAAAATTTTTGACAAGGTTTATTAAAAAAAAATTTTTGAAAATGAAAATATTGATTTTTTTAATGTTGATTTTCTATTTTGTTGAAATAATTAATTCAACAGAGTTAAATGATGACAATGAATATAGTATCAGTAAAAGGAAGGGTTCATTCAATAGTAAGGATTAAATGAATTTCATTGATTGATGAATGATATTCTGATTAAAATGGTTAACAGATCAAGTTGTTATTTTTTTTAGTTATGAAAAGAACAGAAAAAAGAACTTGTTGCAACAGGGTGTTGTCATGTGGTGGAAAGAGCTTGTGTTGTAAGAGATGCGAAACTGGTGGTATTCCTGAGAAAAGAATAGAAAATGATCTTAGACATTGTTGTAAGGTTACTTATGATTGCTCAGGAAACAGAATTTGTTGCAAAACTTGTAATGCAGCTGTTTCTAATTCATCAACCCCTATACTCACTTCACCATCAACTTCACCATCATCATCGCCTTCTGACCCAGCCTTCACAACTTCTACAATTGTAACATCAACAACACCTTCACCATCTTCCTCAACTTCTTCAAATAATCTCAAGAAAAGAAAATTAAAAAGAAAACTTTCTAATAAAAAAAAAAAATTCAAATAAAATAATTTTATTTGTACATAACATTTATTTTTATTTTTTTGTTATTAATTGGTTAATTGTATATAAATCATTTCATTCATTAATATTCATTCATCAATTCATTAATTCATTCACTCATTCTCCATTCCCATTATTAATTAATTTTTTTTTCTTTTCTTTTTATTAATGTAATTTTATGAATTATTTCATCTTTATTTTTTTTATTAAAACAATAAAGAAAATCGTGAAATGTATCTTTAAGCTCCAAGGCTCCCATAAAGCTCCTCTGTTTACTTATGACTGATTTATTTCAGTATTTTACACTTACTGGCTGATTGCAAACTCGTTTTGGTTTATTTACAAAGCCCTTCCTTATCAGTTTGTTTAAAAGCTTTACTTTTACGACAATAATTGATCTGGTCAATATTAACACTTTTAATTGATGCCGTGGTTAATCAATATTAGTACTATACACGCACAGCTATGGCTTTTACTAAAGCAATTTTACCGTATAATCGAGAAAATATTTATACAAAGTTTATTATTAGCAATTTTGAGGTTAATTTAACACAAGCTTTATTTATACGATGGGAGTTATTGTATTTTATTAGAACGTCAATTTTGTATTTGTTTTCTCAAGCGAAGACCAGAAAGTTAGTTTCCTTTGAATTTTATTTACAATAACAAGATTCACTGTAACGGACGAGCTTTGATTTTGTAGAAACAGAAATAAAAATAAAAATTTGTTTTTTAAATATTGATTTCTTTAATTAATTTCCAACGGGATTGTTATTTTATACCTTATCATTAAAAATGAAAAAATGAAATAATTAGAAAAATAGATTTTTTATAAAGATACGAACATATATTTCCAATACCACATTTAACAGCAGCCCCAATTCTAGCAAGGTCCAATACACCTTCGGTAGTTCCAATCGCAGCAATATCAGCAAAACCATTGTTACTGATGAAATTGAAAGTGTTAAAATCTCAAAAGCCATCTGCACTCGATGTAACAAGTTAAGGGTCAAATCAAATGGCGTTAACTCATGCATGGTTTGGCTCAATCAATGCAGGGTAGAGCCAGTAATGGTAATTGTAACCTTGTGGAGCCTACCCTAAAAATTTTATTGTTGTTTATTTAGCGTATTATATAATTACAAATTCCAAATTAAAAAATATCGCGTTTTATATCTCTTTTTTCTTTTTCCTTTTTCTTTTTTCTTTTTCAACTTTGACAACAATAAAAAATTAAAAATAATTCAAAAGTTGATTTTAAAATAAAATAATACATTATTGTGTGCCTATTCATTTATTTATAATATATGATAATCCAACCACTGTTGAAAATAAAGATAAAAATAAAAAACCTAATGTTGGAGATATTAAACAAAATGTTTGTTTTTTAAAATATAAAAAAATATAATAAGACATAAAAAAGGAGGTTGATGATAATCCAATCACTGTCAGAATTAAAGATTTTTTATAAATACTTCAATGCATCATAAACAAATGGCAGTTGATGTCTTACATCAAAACAAACCAGCTTATCAAGAAATGAAATTCAAAGAAAGGTTTTGAATATGCTTGGAATTTCTAAAGAAGTTATAGTTGTATTTGGTATGAGAACTGTATTTAACAGAGGTCGTTCTGCTGGATTTATAATCAATATATATATGATTAATCCATTGGTTAATTATGGCATGATATAGAAAAATGCAACATGCAATTAAAGTGTCAAGATAAAAAATAATTCAATGATAATGGTAAATGATAAAATCAGTTAATCAAAAAAAAAAAACAAATTGTTATTATTACTATTATTATTAATATAATTACTGCTCTAAAGTTACTTCTTTCTCTAGTCGAAATATAAGAAAATGAAATGATTATAGTTGGAACAATATTTGAAAGGTAAAATATTATAGTTTACAATTTTTTAATCATTTATGGCTTGTTTTTTTTTCTATTTTAAAAATCAATTGAATCACACAATATAAAAAAGATCGACAATCGATTTTGTTACAAAAATTACATTTATTTGTCCTATGCGTGTAATAAGTAACAATGAAATGGAAATGTTTCTCTCGATTATCTAAAGATTTAAACAAGCTTCGTAAAGCAGGAAAAAATTATGATACAATAATTTTAGCTGGTGATGGTCAAAATGTCAAAGAATTTAAAGCTCATTCGATAATTCTTTGTGCACGGTCTGAATATTTTGTCACTGCTTTGTCACAAAATTGGGCTCAACAACAAGAAGTGAAGATAAAAGAAAAGGAAGATGCAGGCAGTAATGAAGATAGTGGTAATAAACTATTTTATAGGAAACCAAATGTTTCACCTTATCTATTTGAAATGATATTAGAGTAAGAAAAAAACAAATAACGATCATAATAACATTTATTCATAATGGACATAATCATAATTATAATTGATCTAATCATTAATTATTTAATTACTTAGATATATTTACACAGGTGTAATTGATTTAACATTTTTACAATTATCAAATATTTTGGATCTTTTATTAATAGCTGATGAATTATTGCTTGACGAATTGATTGATGTGATCGAGCATTATCTTCTTAAATATAAGTCTACCGATCTTGAGGATAAAATGGCAATTGTTTTTCAACTAGCTGTAAAACTTAAATCATGTAACAAGTTACAAGACCATTTATTAGAAATAGTTAGCCATAATCTGTCTCAGTACATCGAATCAGATGATTTTTTGACATTGGAGCATTCGACTGTTGAGTTTATCTTGAAATGTGATGGTTTGAATGTTCAAGAAGTTGAGTTATGGGATTTTTTGATAAATTGGGGAATGGCTAATTCTAGTAGATTGTATGATGACGATCTTGATAAATGGACAATTGACGATTTTGAGGAGTTGCACTTGCAAATTAAAAATTTGGTTTGTCTCATCCGTTTTACCGCAATGGAAAGGCATGAATACTCTCAAAATGTCTTTCCTTATAAAAAATTGTTGCCTAAACAATTGAGAAAACAGTTGACTTTGCATTTTTTGGGTAGTGGTCACCAGAAAACCAAGGAAGGATCATTGACACCATTATCACCTCGTGCCTTACCACCTCAACCACAAATCGACTCATTATACATTAACAATTATGCTGCGTCGTTGATTGAAAGTTATATTAAATATAAAGAAAATCATAATACAAAGTCTTGTTATATGGAATATGAATGGAAATTGATTTATAGAGCAAGTCGAGATGGTTATAGTGCTTATAATTTTCATAAATGGTGTGATAGTAAAGGTAGATGTGTTATTGTGTCTAAAATATTGGATCAGGAAGCTGATATTATTGGTGGCTACAATCCTGGTAATTGATGAGTAGATCTTTTTTATTTTTAGTTTATTTTTGTTTACATATTTTTAATTATTATTCCCCTTAAAAAAATATTTTTTTTAATAGTTGGATGGGTTGAATCCAATGGAACATATTCAAGTTGTGATAACAGCTTTATCTTTAATTTCAATGAAGATTTATCAATAAAAAATTTAAGTAGGGTGTTACCTTATTGTAGCTCAAAAGCAATATATCAGTATTCAGGAACAGGCCCAAGTTTTGGAGCTGACGATTTCACAATAGGTGACGGTTTAAAAGATTCAAAGTGCAATACGGATTTCTATTATGAAGATAATATATGCCTAGATTTTATTGATGTTCATGATTATGAAGTGTTTATAATCACCAAAAAATAGTAATATTATTATTTTTATTATTATAATTTCTTATTACTATTGCTACCATTAATTACTTTTTTCTTTTTTAACTTGTATCGATTGATTAGTTGATTAAATGTATATATAATATTTAGGCATTTGTGCATTTGTATATTTGTTTAGGTGGATGGATAAATTGTATCTATAAAAATCAAAATTTGTTTCGTCACATTATATAATAAATAATTGTTATTATTAATGTTATTATTTTTATCCCACGTACGTTTGATTTCCTCAGTTATATATCCCACCTTAGTTATATCCCACGGGATATAAAAGAGGTATGACCATATAAAGTCAAAATAGGTGAAATTAAAAAACGGAAGGAGTGTAAAATCAAGTTAGCAATATTTTTCTGAGCAGAAGAATATAGAAAATAGATCGTGGAAAGAGTAATGATTATGATGATGATATTAATAATAATAATAATTTACTAAACATATAATATAATAATTAAATCAGGAAGGAATTGCTCTATCACATTACAACCAACTTTATCATCAACAGCAATTAGAACATTGAATTCATCCATCACAAATAATTTAAAGACGATCAATAACGACACTACAATAAATTTGAGAAAATGGAAATTATACCTAACGGCGTACACCTTGATAGCATTGATATTTAGAAATTGTGATTTTTGTATATTATTGAATGATATGCAAAATAAATATCTATTCAATTGGATGAGGTAATATCATGGACAAACATTTGTAGAAATTCAATAAACAATTGAGATCGTTGGTTTAGAATTGGTGAATTTAAAGGAATGGAATTTCAACTTTGCCATAATTTCAAAAGAACAGTATGTATATTCTACTCATATAATGTATTCATATATTTTTATATGTTTTTGCTTTATTATTATTATTATTGCAATTTTTCACTGTTATCTGCACCATCACCACCACCATTGACTTTGAAAGTACCTTTATCAACAACACCAATTTTACTTACGCCAGTATTTTCACAATAATGTTGAAATTAAAACAGACCCAATTAATGGTTTAATGGATGGTGCAACTTCGTTGTTGTTCATACCACATCTGCAACTCATATCAATTTATTGACAAAGATAGAGTCTGTATTCTTTAAATATCTTATACAACAAGAATTGAAACCAACAATAGGGGATATATAATATTTTTAAAATGTTTTAAATTTTATTAGAAATCTTCTTCTGAATTATATATATAAATATATATACATATAATACATATAATGTTTTATGTTTAAACCTTGCTTGGTCACTTGGATAGTATTTGTAGAACATGGCTTTATAATTGTTCAACAAGGCATTTCACTAAATTCTTTATTGCAAAATATAAAACATAGATTTGAAATAAAACTTAATTATAATCAAATCTCATATAAGAATGGTGTTGGTGAAATGATTGATGAAGAAGATTGGAGAGTCACTAAATGGGAAGCTAATTATGAAAAAAAAAATAATGTCATTTGAAATAAAAATAAAGATTAATGCCTTGTTGGATAAATTTTAGTGACCAGTTAATAGTAACAATGTGATTAGGTCAATATCTTAATATAGGCAGAGTAATCAATCCGAAATATAAATTCATGCTGAACTTAATTTTCGCATCTTTACTTGGTTGTTTGATCTGTTGAATTTGGTTTTCTAGTTTTTGGGGTTTTGGCTTTCATTTTCAGAGCTAATTCTTTAAACTTGATTTTAATGATTTTAATAGCATCTTTCTTATTAAAGTTAAATTCGTACTTACAGTAGACGATCTTTCTAAATTTGGTAACTTATTATCCAAATTTAGAGTGATCTGTTGTTCCTATATTAATATGTGTATGACACTAATAAATTGACAATGTGATCAACGCAAATTTTTATTCAATTGGAACATTTTTCAAAAAAAAATATGAAGTCTTATTTAATACAACATTCTTTAATAATAATAATTTGTATCATTTTATTCCAGATATGTTTGGCGCAAGATAATAACAGTGATCATAACAATAGTGAAAATGATAGTAATAAAGAAAATTTAGTTGATGGTTTTTTCAGTCGTGGAGGTCATACAAACAACTGGGCGGTTTTGGTAGAGTATCAAAGTATGCAATTTAAAAACCTCACGACCGTTATATATAAGCTTGTCATCAAATCAAACCAAAGAATTTTTGTCTAAACAAGTTATTATTCGTTAATATCGTTATTATTATTAGGTATGCACTTCACGTTTTTGGTTTAATTATCGACATATAGCCAATACTTTATCGATGTATAGAACAGTGAAACGTCTCGGAATTCCAGATTCCAATATAATATTGATGCTTGCAGACGATGTAGCATGTAATCCTAGAAATGTTTTCCCGGCAACTGTCTTCAATAATGCTGCAAGATATCTTGATTTGTATGGTGATAATGTAGAAGTGGATTATAGAGGTTATGAGGTGACAGTGGAGAATTTTATTAGAGTTTTGACTGGTCGTGTTGAACCTGATACACCCAGATCAAAACGGTTACTTTCCGATGATCGATCAAACGTATTAGTTTATATGACTGGACATGGAGGTAACGAGTTTCTAAAATTTCAAGATGCTGAAGAAATTAGTAGTTTTGATTTAGCAGTTGCTTTTGAACAAATGTGGGAAAAAAGAAGGTAATATTAACGTTACGAGGAAGATAAAAATATTATTATTATTATTATTATTATTATTATTATTATATTATTATTATTATTATTATTATTACTATTATTGTTACTATTATTGTTAATAATATCAATATAACTAACTCTTCTATAATTGATTAATTTGTAGGTATCATGAAATATTATTCATGGTTGATACATGTCAAGCAAATACAATGTATAGCCAAATATATTCATCAAATATTTTGGCAACAGGAAGTAGTGAATTAGGAGAAAACTCTTATTCTGTATGTTATTAAAATATACATAAAGTACATTAATAATCATTGCTAATTATGTATTTTTTTAATAGCATCATATGGATATAGATATTGGTGTGGCAGTTATTGATAGATTTACATATTATAATTTGGAATTTTTAGAAAAAATTGATATGCAAAGTAAAGCAACGTTGAAGGATTTGTTTGACTCTTATAATCCACAATTGATACATTCGACTCCTGGTTTTAGAAGTGACTTGTTTCGTAGGCCATTGGATAAGGTTATTAATCAATACATTGTGTGTATAATATGTGCATATGTATTAATTTGATTGTTTATTTAGGTTCTTGTCACTGATTTTTTTGGAAGTGTACAAAATGTGGAATTGACAGGACAAAAATATAATTTATCAAATACTGATGATATGATAGTCGCCAATAATAATATTGATTCTTCTTCATCAATAATGAATAATACTTCTTCAACTGCATCATCGACATCATATAAATTAAAGGATTCAAATAATTTTCATCTTTTCAATGTTGTCAATTCCGATCAATCATCATCGCCATCATCATCTACTTTACCACAGTTTTTAATAGCAAGTTTTTTGTTTTGGATATTGGTTAAATGGACTTCTATGAAGTTATAAACTTGTAAGATTTTGTGAGAATATAATATATACATACTATGTTGATATTAATAACAATTTACAATACTAATAATAAATAATTGATATTATTATAAAGGATTTATCTTTTTTTTAAAAAAAAACCTCCCAATTTATCACTAAAAAATATTTTATTATCTTGACAATAAATAAGATGAATTTTGAAAATTAAGAATCTTCTAATTCTTCTTGTTCGGATGGTAAAGTTACTAGTGAAGTTACTGGTGGTCCAAGTCCAAGAAATTCCCTAGCCTACAGAATCATGCGCATACAATCATAAACATGAACATAAACGTAAAATAATAATAACAATAATAATAATAAATCTTACTTTTTCATGATTCTCTAAAACTCCTAAATCTTTTTCACCATTTTTTACTTGTTCAGCCAATTCAGGTTCCTTTTCAATAATTTCTTTTAAAACATTTTGAAATTTTAAATACAGTGAATCTGGTTTGGTAATATCATCTGGTGCTTGAAAGTAAACACCTTCTTCCAATTTTACTGAATTAAACCCTGAAAATTTTTAATTAATTCATTAGTAGCCATCATTATTGTTGTAGTTATTATGGAATGAAGAAGAGAACATACATCCAAGTGGTTTTTCAAATGTTTCACGAAATTTTGCACGAGTTTCCATAAGCTCAGCTGTTTTTGTAGCTGAAGGTGATAAAGCGGTTGGACGATGCGTGTGACCCATGATTATTATTATTATTTATTATTATTACTAATATTGCAATATTATTATTAATCAGAATCAAATTTTAAAAAAACCAATTGACAAAAAAATAAAAAAATAAATTAAAAAAATTTAAATTTAGTATTATATCCAAATCGGTACAGTTAGTTACACATGTCAAGAATTCATTTTGCGGATGCAGTTTGGCGTAATTCCAATCAGTCACTTTAGTATTAGATATATACACTGGTAAAATGTTTACGATATCTGCGAACATTGATAATAAACAGTTTACAATATGAATGAACATATCTGTGATCTGATTTGATTCTCTTCATGAAAGGTATTCATTATCTTTACTTTCAGAGTGGTATTGACGAATCGGTTTCAGGCTTATATACCTTTTTAACCTGACAGAGTTGAGAATCCTCCTTAGCCACTGTTATTTATACACATAAAAACCATTTATAGAAGAGTTGGGCACCGAATTTGTCAGTGGTATTTGAGGATTTCTCTCAGTGTTAGCTTACTCAAAATTAGTGATAACTTGTTCGTTTTTGAAATTATGCAACAAAGCCAAAGTGAACTTTTGTATTACCAAGGATTTCAGGGTTCGAAATTTAGGGAATGCTAGAAAAGCACAGGGGACAGGAATCTGCAACATTCGCTTTTCATTGGGCCCAAAATTTAGTTACCATCACAAAGAAAAATAATAAATATTAAGAAAGAAAGCAGAAATCCTTAGAAGAAAAATAAAATGCAATGAATCACATTATTACATGCTGATCTATTTTTTCTTTTTATATACAACATAAACCATAGCAATTATAAAACCTAAAATTAAAGTTGTACTTGCTATTCACAATCAAATGAATTTACCATCAAACTTTTTTCATTCTTTAAAATTTTATTTTTATGTTCCTCTGCAGCTTTGGCAAAATATTCATATTTTAAGTCTGAGACAGTAGTTTTGAGGTGGTAGATGTTATCTCCTGTGGTATTTTTGTTACATTCATAATTTTACTCAATCTTCTTCTTCATCTACAAGATATCAAATCTTGTGCATTTTCTTTAATAATGAGGTTTACTTTGACCATTGATTTTTCAACCATCATTACTCCTAATTTAGATTGAGGAAATTTGCCAAAGTTTTTGGAAAATCTTTTCTCTTTTTCCACCACTACCATAGATTTTTTGCCCTTATCACTGTTTTTAGTAGTAGTAATAACTATTAAATCACTGATCAAATCTTCTTTTAAACATCTTTTATATCCTCAGCAGTTGATAAAAGGGGGAATGAGATTTCACATTAACTATTTCATATCTAGAACTGTTTTTGTCAGTATCTTCTCTTCTTTTGGTAACTTTTTAAACTTTTCATAAGTAAAGCTCCGAACGGTTCGGTTTGATTCGGTTTACAATCCGAATTTTTAAAGGCCAAACCGAAACCAAACCGCTCGGCTCGGTTCGGTTTTTCGGTTTACATTTGACCCAAAAATTCAGACATTCTAAATTCGTTAACTACGCAAAAATATACATAATAACTTCAAAAAATTATAATAACTTGTAGCTTAGTTTACGGATGTGTTACGAAGTAGAGATGCTGGAAGGATCCTGTTTCTAAATACATACATAATCTATAATTTATACCATGGTAACGATGGTATGGAGATCATGATTGAATTTTATACATAATGCCATGTTTAGATACAGCTGGTCGGATCGTTACATATTCATAAATTCATCACAAAAATTTGTACGTTCAGAGTTCCTATTCGCAATACAAATTCTTATTCGAATTATTCGTTTTATTCGCTTTATTCGTTTTATTCGAATTATTCATTCTATTCGCTTTATTCACTTTATTCGAATTACTCGTTTATTCATTTTGTTCATTTTGTTCGTTTTATTCGAATTATTGATTTATTCGAATTATTCGTTTTGTTTGTTTTGTTTGTTTATTCGTTTTGCTCGTTTCATTTGTTTTATTCGAATAGAAATCCTAAGGATGTTCTATTTTTTCAATTCATATATAAAATTCATCGTCTCCGCAAACCTTTAAATTCTTATTGTTTCAGATTCTAGATTAAAAATTAGTGGGTTTGGTTCTAAATAAGCAGAGTGCAAAAATTAGAATACCAGGAACTGCAAAGTAGTTTTTAGTCTAAGTTCGGAGCTTTATTAACATTTAATAATTAATACAATTATAATAATTAGAAATGTTGGAAATTAGTTTTGAAAGAAGTAGTGAACCTGGTGGATAAATGTTAACAAAGGTAAATTAACAATGCTGATAATATTCTTATTTTTATTTGATAATTTATTATTTTCTCTCTAATTTTCAACTTTCCGCACGAACAAGCTTAGTTAATACCAAGATGGACATTAGAATTAATCTGGATAAAACTTATTGGATACCAGAATATGCAAGAAATAAAATAAAAATCCAGTATATACAATAAACAATTCCTTCTTTTTCCATTTCGTTTTGTGCATCGCATGCGCAATTTTGGTTAGTTATTTATTTTATTTTATAGAAATCAAATCATAACAATAAGAAAGGTGAGCTTGTATTGGTGTCGTACACAATCTAGAAATATAGAAGATTGTATTGATAAGTTGTATGATCTTATAACAAGAGCTGCTGAAATACCGAAAGGACCAGACAAAGAAAACTAAAAAGAATTGAACAATTGTTTGTATTGTATATAATGTGATATTAATAATAATATTATTTTTTCATGAATTTTTTGATGATAGAAAGAAATTAGAAAATAATAAAAGAAACTACAAAGATCTACAAAGAAGTGTGATTGAAAATGTCGTGATGATTATTGATGTTTTATGTTTTATACAGTTTGCTCTGGATATAGTGAAGCATTTGTTTTTGGAAAAACTTCATTATATAGTACGATTCATTATATAAAAAGATCGCTAAATGTCACGTGAAATTTTCATTAGTTAAAGTATATTAATGTTTATTATTTGAATAAAAAAATACATTAATGAAATAAATTATGTGAACCATCTTTCTAGTAGCATAGTGGACATTTGTTTTATCACATGTG